TTCTTGATGAAAATTTACCTAGGAAAGGATTTTGAACGCAGTAATTCTTTCTGTAACGAGTACGATATACCCGAGCGCTATGCCGTTGTTGAATGCTGTGTAATGACGTTAAGATATTTGCCGAAGGAAATGAAAAGAAATCTCGCATAGCCTGAAATGTATAAGATGAGGCGCCTGGCAAATGTAATCATAATCTGCTTTGCTTTTATTCTCGGCACGCATCAGATTTCACCTTAAGTCCAGTCGGGTTTGCAATAGTTAACTTCAGATTTATAGATTAAAAGAGAACCGAAGCGACTATCTCACAAGTAATCTTATTAATTTTCTGAAAAGTACGATAGATATATTTTATGAGTTTTTCGTGTTTTGGATGGTTAATATTGGTTTTAAATATGGCGATCGTCGGGTCATCTTAAATACCTAAAAACTTTAACAATGATATGTTTGTCAGGGAAATCCCTTTTCATCCCTGTTGTTAAAGCTGATCTAATATTATTTTATGTAATACTCCTTACTCTCTACTGGTGCACCATAATAGAAGGTTTCAACGGCTTTAGACTGGTCAAAGTTCTGGTTTGTGTCATATTAAGGTATATAGGAAATTTATTTTCAGACACGTGCCTGTGGAGCTTACTCTAAATTTAGTTAACAACCTTCTTTCATTTTCATTAACACAACTTACATATTTTTTAATTTGAAAATGTTTTTAAATTTAAGATATGTTCTTAACTTGTTCTCAACTTTGGAATGTTTTGTTTTATCATTTCAAGCCTTTTTAACAAAATTAGGTTATATAGTTTTAGAGAACTTTTTACTTTTTTTATAATTATGCCCTTGAAGAGGAGATTATCTTAAAACAAATGAATAATTGATTTGAATGTTTTCTTTATCGTACTAAATGACTTATTTTCACTGGTTAAAAATTATAAATAAAATGACACATCACGTATATTTGATCTTTAAAAATCTTGTAAAATTAGAAAATGTTTGTTATACAAATCTAATAACCTCAAACTATCGCTGGAGGGCGCAAGGATACGTCGATGAACAAATTAGTGTGTATAATGGAAATTGTTATATTTTGTATTATTTTTGTTCAGTTTTCCTGTGCAGTTTATGTCCAGACACAATACGGATGGGTACGGGGAGTACGATCGAATGATGCGATCTCTTTTTACGGAATTCCATATGCACAACAACCTAGACGGTAAGATTGTTTTAGACTCATTTAAAAATTTGAAAGTTTCCGAGTATTCTGCATATTCTGCTACACTGTTGTTTTCTTTTACGTGCCATGTGTTATTATTTTTGTTAGTTTTCTTACCGCTAAATCTTGGTTTAATTCAGATATTAAAAAAAGAAAAAGAAAGAGCAGGAGGTATACACATTTGACATGATAATAACATCACTACCTTAAGATTAAAACATAAAACATCCAAAACGATCTGATTAAAATACAATCCTGTGTCCAAGCTTTGCATACAGGGATCCGAAAACACTCCATATCACATTCAACTGTCTTTCCTTGTAAGCAAAGCTTGATACTAGCTTGATCACAAGATCTGTACTCTAATCAGATTGCTTTGGATACAAAGCTTTATTATAAAATTATTAAGTAAATATCAATTAGCTCATGATATAACCATGAAAGGGATCTGCTTTTAGTGTCAATAAGTATAAAATTGGGAATGGAAATGGGGAATGTGTCAAAGAGACAACAACCCGACCAGAAAATGAGCAGAAAACAGCCGAAGGCCACCAATGGGTCTTCAACACAGCGAGAAAATCCCGCACCCGGAGGCGGGCTTCAACTGGCCCCTAAACAAATATGTGTATTAGTTCAGTAAGAATGGACGTCACACTAAGCTCCAAAACATATAAATGATCTAAAATTAAAAAAACATACAAGACTAACAAAGGCCAGAGGCTCCTGACTTGGAACATATATGAAAGAAAGAGAATAAAAATATAGGATGCTAATGAGATAACAAACCGTAAAGAACAAAGGACAAAGATGCGGACAATATAGGAAATATGGTTTGATTGTCAATTAGATGACTATCTTGAACAGAGTACAAAATGACGTATATTATAAAAGCAATCACGAGACTTGAACATAGAACCAATCCATACCCGATTATCAGCGTTAAATGCCCAACATGACAACACGTGAAACAATTCAAACAGCGGCCTGATATATGACAAAACAATTAACCAAAAACAAATATGGCAGACAGCAACCAACGACAACCACTGAATTGCAAACAGAAACAACAGTCGTGTGGTGGTCGACAACCAAACAACCCCCAAATTCATGTTTTCATATACTCATTACAAACGTCCTTCGAAGCATCATTGTATTTTAAAAATCAAAACAAATATATATATATTAATATTACTATATCCAATAAACTCATCATAGATACCAGGATTAAATTGTGTACGTCAGACGCGCGTTTCGTCTACAAACGACTCATCAGTGACGCTCGAATAAAAAGTTAGAAAGGCCAAATACAGTACGCAGTTTAAGAGCATTGAGGAACAAAAATTCCGAAAGGTTTTACAAAATAAAGCTAAAGTAATCTATTCCTTTGGTAAACATTGAATAATTAAATTTGAAAATTTAGCTATGAAGTTTGATAAATATCATAATCAAATGGGTAAATTAATGGAATCTGTGTCTCTAATAAGTACATTGTACTGATGTATTCATGCAAGAATAACATGGAGGGTGGCACATCACATGTTTTAAAATGGATTGATATTCAATTAAATGACATATCTAATTACATGCAAAAACTGAGAATGAGCCAAATCTAACACCCCTCATGTGGCAACACCTTCCTGATTCTTATATAAATACCAGCACTTTATGGAAAATTCACGTCAACAGCGTGGTTTGGCTGGTTTGTCGAACATACATATATACCAAACTGGTCAGGACAGGATAAAGCACACTATTAAAGAATAATAGAAATACTTTAATCTAACAATGTCAAATGTAAATTATTTGTAAATTATTTACACACTATGTAACGACAAGACATTTTATAACGATGACTTGTAAATACAAAATATATGGAGGGGACGGTTTGGGTTATAAGCATAATTTTGCAAAACCCACACAGAAACATGTAGAGAACAACAATCGTCGATGACAGAGTGCACTGGTTTATCACTTCCACGTTTAAAAAAAAATAATGTTATACTGACTATCTTTATCACCACACAAATAAAGAATGCCATTCGTATCGATTAAAATTTTGTTTGATGGATATATTCTTTTGATCACATCTGAACCAAGTTTTGTCAATTTTATATCTCGCAATTTTCAAAGTACAGGTTTCACATGTTGCATTTTTTCCAACAACATTGAATTAATCAACTTAACCGACATCTTTTGCCATTTCCTTATCTATATATGGAAAAACAGTTTTAGGATATAATGGAAAAGATTGCGAAGTTTTTCTCCGAATACCAAATTTTAGTTGAGAGAAAATTCACCACTTTCACCATATATGAAAATAAATGTGTTGAATTTTATCACTGTTCTTTCAATGCTTTGAACTTCGGTCTCAGCCATGGTGACCTTATTTCATTTTAGTTTGACACGCAAAATTAATTCCAGTCAAGTGATTCTAGGAACATGGATTATTTATTTTTAAAGCAGCGTTCATTGACTGAATGTACTATTAGATCAGAGTTTTGTGTTGTATTTTTTGTTTGTTGCTCCGGGTTTCAGTCGATCCTGTTTTTTTTTTTTTGCGGTTCCTGCCGATCCTGCTTTTTTGTTGTTGTTGCGGTTCCTGTCGATCCTGCTGATGGAATATATTTTTCTCGGGGTTCATTGTCATAACCATAATCTGGTTCTTTTTTCCTCTTTTATGACATTACCGAACGTGACATATCACGGTATTTTTACTTTTCGATAGGATCATGAACGATACCAGATAATAATGTATCATAAAGGGGCAATATTAAATAAATATAAATAGATCACAAAGGCTGTGTTAAAATTGAACATTTCATATTAAAATCTCTCCATGGCACATGATACCATGCATCTATGTTAGGCATATCCAAATGATTTGTATTTTCAATTATATTTTTTGAGTTTATTTATGAACGAATTAAATCAATCTTTATTTTTATCATGTCCTAAGTAAAATATTCCGTTTTCAACAGGCCAATTCTTGACTAGACAAAACAAACAAGCAACATTACATTACACTTTAATTAACATAAAACTCGTTGTCGAACATAAGGATACAACTTAAACGTACATTATGAACCAAGAGTTATCTTACAAACAATGGTATAACATATTCCTAAGTCAGATATCTAACGAATAATATTACGAACATGAGATACCAAGAATTGTCTACTATTTGAGAATTTCGGAAATACAAAAAATTACTGAAACTGAAATATTCAAGCTACAAATTAAAAAACCTATATCCATTATTACTTGTAAAATTCCGGAAACATACTCATACACATTTTTTATAGCGAAGAGGCGATACAACTGTATAGTCATATATATCCCGAAAGGAAAGAATGCATTTAAATTGCAATCTAAATGACATTGAGTATGAGTAACATTTCTTATTCAAATGTAAACAGATTCATTTTTACTGAACTCACGATGAGGATTAAAAGTATATGCTTATTTAATAAAAATAAGTATATTTTACCCGAGTTAATATTAAGGTGGTACCAAACACCTTGACTAAAATTGATTTGGCTCGTTTAATTTTCATAAAATTTTGACAAAATATTTACTTTGACCCTTTAACAAAAATATAAAAAATTCAAAAAACTTGAACCACACACTTTATTGGATAAATAGCAGTTTGACAAACACTAATTTTGTTCATTGAGAAGCTAAATAATTCCAATAAAACGTGATTAAAACGTTCAGCTGATTTTTAAAGAGTTATATCCCTGTAGTGTAATGTACCACCTTAATTTGATGATATTATTTTCTCTTGTAGATGGGCGCATGCTATACACCCTATTCCGTGGGGCGGAGTTCTAAATGCCACCAAACCACGACCGATGTGTCTACAGCCACCATGTGGTAGATTAGATCCTCCTGGGATGTGCCAAGAAAATGTTAGTATTGGTCACACCCGATCTTAAAGATTGTATGTTTTACGTCAACAAATAATTAAAAAGCAAAAACAAACACAGAATATACACTTAAACACGAACAGCACCAATGAAACACATGAACATATAACAAAATTAAATGTCTGACACAGTACATAATCAAAAGTTACACGACCTGCTTATCTTTTACATTACACATTTTCTGAAGAATCACTCACATTTTTTCTTCAGATGTCGGAAAACTGTCATTTTGTGAATGTATTTGTGCCGTTGAATACCAGACAAGGAAATAGAAAGACGGTGATGGTATTTATACATGGTGGAGATTTTCAGTCCATGTCTGGTGGTGCTCCTGCATTTAATGGGGAATATTTTGTCAATAAAGGAGATGTTATATTGGTAACGTTTAATTACAGATTAGGTTAGTAATATATTATTTCTATAATGTATTCTGTTGCATTTCAAAACATTTGGTATCAGCAGAAAACAATATCTAACACATCTGCATTCAGAGTGACAGAAGACATTTTAGCTCGATCACCCACAGGGACTCGGTTAGCAGATTAAAATTTTGTTAAACAATGTTTTTTAATTTTTTTTTTAATTATTTCCTGTCTATTTGTATTACTTTATTAACGTATTTGACCCTAGGATTTTTCAGTATAGGGATATGGATAGTAAACTGCACATTGCTAGAAAACAAAGAAATAGTGATGTCAACGTCAAATACGTTAATAAAGTAATAATACAAATAGACAGGAAATAATAAAAAAAAAAATAAAAAAACATTGTTTAACAAAATTTTAATCTGCTAACCGAGTCCCTGTGGATCACCCTGTCTAAAAAGCTACTAGTATTTGAGCTTTTGCAATCACTCTGGGGTCCGTCGTTGTCCGGTGTACGGTTTTTGTCGTAAACTTTTCCAAAGGTCTTCTCATTTGAAACTTCTCTACAAATTTCAACCAAACTTGGCCTGAATGATTCGTAGGATATCTAGTATAAAGTTTGTGTTTCGGTAAGTCAATAAAAATGGACGTAATGGACAAAAATAGAACATAAAAAGGGAGGTGAAATGCATCAATTGTCTTATATCTTGAAAACTTTAATTAATAGAGAAATCTGGCATGTAGATAATGATCAAAATGTCAAGCTCTGTCAACTTATTATTTTCACCCAAATTATCAGATGTCTCCCTAATGAGTTTTTGTGATTTAATTTGTAAAGAGTTATTGCACTTAAATGACGAATTTTGACTAAATTTAGAGATTTTGTCTATTGTCTAAAAAGTACTATTATAGATAAGTAACCGTACGATCTTCAGCAATGAACAAAACCCATACCGTATAGAAAGCTACAAAAGGCCCGACATGACAAAATATTTCAAACGAGTAAACCAACGACATGGCCTGATTTATGTACAAAACAATAATCGAAAAACAATTATGATAGAAAGACCAACCACAACTACAACAACAGAATTACATGATCATAACTTGGAACAGACACATTTAGAATGTCGCCGAGTTAAACAGCAGCAGTTAAACATGTTTCCGACCTCGCAAACCTCCCCGAACCTTAGAGAGTGGAATCAAACTTATCAATCTAATCAAAATTAAATCCTTTAATTGCTTCCGTTCTGGTAAGATGCTCGACATATCAGAACGGGAGCAATTAAAGGATCTAATTTTAATGATATTGCACACCTATCATATTGTGTTGGCTTGCTGTCTGTTTAACATGTACCGCTCATCTTCCTTCATTCCTATTTAACATAACTGTTAAATAACACAATGGTATAAAATCTAAAGAATTCGTGATAAATTACAAAAAAAAAAATTGTTCACAGTACAATTGTTCAGGTAAATAGGTAACATTTTACAATACAATTAATCATATATCAATCAAAATGTAACACATTGCTAATTAATATATCTTATTCATATTTGTTGTTATCAAATTTTTGGGTCATACATTACACGAAATTGTATTTTTTTGTAATTATGATAACGTTAAGTACATATTAAGAAATATTGAAATGCTATATTTTGCAAGGATAGGATTGAGTCTTTATTGAACACTATGTTGACCGTACTTGGGATCAAATGCCCAATCAAACACTGAAACTGGTCAACATACTCATTCCATAGAATCCCACGTATGTAGGTCAATTAAGAATTCAGAATCAAACCATGTTAAGCCAAAATAAGTTCAAGGAAGTAATCAATCTGTTTCCTGACGTGTGAGGTGTAGGTCCTTGTATCATATGAATATAAAAGTCTTGCACACACTGTAGGCACGTTCACTAGAACAGGTCACCATAGCCCAATCAAAGACAGAGAGACAAGAAATAAGGTATGTTATACATGGTGAATTTGTCTTTGGTGAACATGCCACCACAGCCAAATCAAAGGCAAAGAGACAAAAAACAAAACCTGTAATACATGGTGACTTTGTCTTTGGTGAACATACCACCACAGCCCAATCAAAGACAAAGAGACAAAAAACAAGACCTGTATAATATATGGTGACTTTGTCTTTGGTGAACATGCAACCACAGCCCAATCAAAGGCGGAGAGACAAGAAACAAGACATGTAAACATGCCACCATAGCCCTAGCCAGAATCGAAATAGTTATCACTTGCAAGACATTTCTTTGTTTTGACATTGTTAGACTTGTCATATGAAACAAAAGTCATTTCTGGTTGCGAGAAAATGTAACGTTATTTAAGATATACGTCAACAGAGCTAAAAGTAACGGGACAAATGGCCATTACGTTGGAAATTTATACTTCCAAACTCAAAGCAACGACTCATTCGACTGGAAATATTATTACATCAACGGCAGAATGGATGTGGAAACCCGTTTGGGTTTAATCAACACATGTAAAATATAGGACACAATCGGATAAATTACAGATCGGACGACTAGGTTATCACAGTCCTAGATACTTAGATAATTACACGAGAGATACTCTCTTACATCTGTAGAACAAAGAGATGTGAGAGTTTTCATGGCGAAATACAAATACTAGTACATGAAAGATGACATCTGCAGAACAAAGAGGTGTGAGAGTTCACATGGCGAAATACAAATACATGAAAGATGACATCTGCAGAACAAAGAGTTGTGAGAGTCAAGATGTGGAGATACGATAACAATAGATATACAATGACATCTGTAGAATAAGGAGGTTACAATGTGGAAATTCATTCACATGAGATATACACTGCGACATCTGTAGAACAAAGAGTTATTAGAGTTCGTATGTGGAAATACAATTAAATGAGACACACACTGTTATGTCTGTAGAACAAAGAGACAAAGACTCCTGGTGTGAAAATACAATTTACATAGATGACACACTGCAGTATATACTAGTATAGAAAAAAAAGAATGTTAGAGTGCTTTTGTTGAAATACAATAACATGAAAGATGCATTGCCACATATAATAAAATAGAGAATGGAAATGGGGAACGTGTCAAAGAGACAACAACCCGACCATAGAGCAGACAATATGTATAGATAAGAGATGTGAGAGTCCTGATGTGGAAAAACAATTATATAGAGAGATACACCGTTGTAGAACATAGAACTACATGAGAGAAATAGTATGACATCTATAGAAAAACAAATCATCAAAGATACCAGGCTTATAATCTATAACGCTATACGACGCGTTTCTTCTACATACGACTCGTCAATGGCGCACGAGTTAAGACAATTTAAAACAGCTGGAAGGCCAAATCAAATAAGAGGTTGAAGAGTAACAAAAACAAAAATTCCGAAAATGTGTGCCAAATATGGTTAATGCAATGTAATCATAGGTAGATCAACCTTAGTATTTCGAGTGATTCAACATTTTATGAACAGTAAATTACAGAAAATGACACAACACAAACGTGCTGACTACTAGGCTGGTGATACCCTCTGAAACGAAACGTCCACCAGCAGTGATTTCGACCCAGTGGTTGTAAAAAACTAATCAAAGATACCAGGCTTATGTTTGTTACGTCAGACGCGCGCTTCGTCTACATCAGACTCATCAGTGGCGCTTTTTTCGTCAGAAAACAGTTGGAAGGCCAAACCAAAGACGAGGAATGAAGAGCAATACTGAAAACCGATATTAAATTCATAAAACTCCGAAAAATTGTGCCAAATATGCAATAAGAACAAAAAGGTGTGAGGTACAATTACATAAGAGTAATGCTGTGAAATATGCAGAACAAAGAGGTGTGAAGAAATGCAAAAAAGACATGGGAAATACATTGCGACATCTATAGAACAACGAGGAGTGTGAGTCTTGATGTGGATATAAAATGGTATGAGAGATATACACATACATTTGCAGAGATATGTGAGGGTGAAGATGTTGAGATATACAATTGTCGCAGAGACATTTTGTGACAACTGTAGAATAAAGAGGTATGAGACTACTGATTTGAAAATGTCATTACATGAAAGATACACTGTCACACCTCTAGAACAAGAATAAGTGTTCTAATGTGGAAATTCAATTCTAAGAAAGCTAGATAATACGATCTGTGCGAGTATTACTTTGACACGCCCTTTTCTTTAATGATATACAACTGTGAAACAAAGAACAATGAAAGGGATATAAACCGTAGCACTTAAAAACGGAAGAATAATAAAGTGAAAAAAAACCATTAAATTACGGATTTACAACTACAGACAAGTATATCCTTTAGATTTTATTTAATGGCTTTTACACTTATGAAAAAAACATTACATGTCATAGATGTTTTACAAAGAAAGCAAAAATATCAAGCAGTAAAAGTTACAATAATGGCAGGTTAATTGCAGTGAATGGGAAAACTTTAAAAAAATTGTTTTTGAAGTCTAGTTGGAAGGAGCAACCATTGTAAATTTCTGTCAATTATCTATAATAGACTTATGATGCAATGATACATATTGTAATAGTTTCAACCTTTTGGGTCTTTCCGTGTTATTTTTATTACAGAATAATCAACATTTGATAACCAGGTGTTTGAGAATAAACAAAAATTGCAAAAGTTATGGAGTATTTCTTTAATTATGTTATATGAGACACAGGATTTGCAATTTGTTTTAATTTCTTGTTCTCTATGTCAGACAAATCAATCCCAGAGAGATGAAGTTTGTCTTCGTTTTTGCAAATGTTTCTTTTTCCAGATTGATCAAAAGAAGAATTAACTCATTATACAGTGATAAATATTACAATAGTTTCAAGTTCTGTTGGATGTATCAATGATTTTAGAATTATCAACATTTTAGTACTCAGTCTGTGAGAAAAAAAAATGCAAAAAGAGAGACAGAAGATACCAAAGAGGGAATCAAAACTCATAAGTCGATGAGAGACCGACAGAATCATGACATTAACGAAAAACGACGAGCAGTATATTCTCCACAGCATAAAAAATAA